TTTTTTTTTTTTTGGCATGATAAAGGTTGATGGTTTAATTAATTTGTATGCTTTCTTGTAGTGGCAAAGTGTGGTTTGAAGAATATGACCAATGACGTGGAGCGATGCTTATCCTTGGTAAGATGGTGGTTGACATAATTATGCTGTGCGTACTTTTCTAGTAATGTTAGTATTGGGACTGTTTTGCCTAAGCAAGTGATTTTGGCACTTAGTAAGTGTTTTGAGATGCATAATTTGAAAGAAAGTAATATTCTCGCATCTTAACTGTCCATGATAATTTAAACAAATTTTCAATCACGAAATTTTCAAACTATTTATGGTTTTCTGACCCTGTTCTTTAGTGTGTGGAAGAGAGAATGCGGGGACTCATATCTAATCTCATCAGACTCTCAAAGCAGGTTTGTTTTCCATTCTTATAATTCACTGCATCCGTTTTCTTCACATCAACTCTTTATTGATTGAAGTTTGCTTCGTTGTTTCGGTAAGAGTATCTTAGTTCTCAGCATTTTTACTAATTTTTGCAGCGAGTTGATTTTGAGAAGCCAAGACACAAAATTATTGTCACCTCAGATGTTAGACGACAAATCTTGACTATAAACCACAAAGCTCGCAAAGAGTGGGACAAAAAACAGGCTGAAACTGAGAAGTCCCAAAAACCAAATGAAGTAATTAATCATCCATACTAATTTAATGTCATTTTTGCCTATTTTGGCACAAACTCTGAATCCTGTACCAAAAAATAATATATATGAAATGCAGACTGAGAATGCTTCTGGAGTTGACGGTGACAAGGATAAAGATGAAACCCGTGGAAAATCTGCAAAGGTATTGAGATTCAACTGCATGTTATGATGTTGTCGAATATTTTTGCCTAATTACGATAGAACCTAATTAATCTTGTTAAAGTACATATTTTCTTGGCATTTGTTTCTATTTTACAATCGGAACCATGGTAAGCAGGGGCATATCTATTTTTGAAAGATAAAAACTGGAGCTTATTTGTCATTATTCTAATCATAATAATAATTATTATTATTTTTACATCTTTCATTTGCAGGCTAACAAGGAGGAAGACGATAAAATGCGGGCAACGGCTGCAAATGTTGCTGTTCGAGCAGCCACTGGTGTTGGTGACATGCTGTCAAGATGGCAGTTAATGATTGAAGCCAAGCAAAAACAGGGAGGCTCTGATACACTATCAGGCTCTCAGCCCGGAAAGGACATGGTGGCGGCCCGAAAGTCTTCCGCAACATCATTGAAGAAAACGAGGGAAAATCAAGAAGCTGACAGACGAGATCCTTCGGCTGCAACCCCTGGTAAGTTTGGCTTTCTTGGGAGCTGTGGCAGTCAAATAATTAGTGCAGTATCGTACGAAATTTAGCCTGAATTAGCAAGAGGAACCTGCCACCTTTCTGAAAATTACAGATACTTCTTGATATCTTTTGTGAAAGAAAATTTAGTAAAGAAAATGCAGATTCAAGTACTTCAAAGGGGTATTTTTAATTTTGAAGGGTAAATATTATTGTTGTCTTCATTAGAGGTGATTGCAATAACAAACCTCTATGTTTGGGATAATCCTATTTACAGAAAAGAAAGGGAACCCGGAATTCAGAAGATACCCTTGAGTTTACATTTTTCTTACAGTTAACAGTTGTGGTTAAGGATGCCATGAAAATTGCTAACTTCATTAGATTTGGAGATAATCCTATTGATTCCAACTTTCTGTTGCATTTCCATCCCTCAAGGCTTCTAGTGGTAAAAGCTGGACGAAAATTAAGTTATAGCATATGCAAAAGTTGAAATTGGACCAAATTTCAGTCAACATGTGGTTCGAATTGGACCAAAGTGTAAAACAGAGTGAACTTCTAGTGTGGTTCTTCCACTGTCAAGCGCCGGGGTACTTTTGTATCGTTAATTAATATTATTTTACTTGTAGCGCATAAATCCTTCGCCTAAAATGTGGCATGCTTGACTGAAAGCTACCATTTTCATACTTTCATGCCTGAGTCAGTGTATTATCCCTAATGGAAATGGTTTGGATTTGTTTGGGTATAATTGTATTGAAGTTGTGATCTCAATGCTGCGTTTCTCTTTTTTGAGGATCCTTACTCATTCGTTTTTGTACCCAGCATCAGTTAGAAAAATGGGAAGAAATCAAGTTGTTATACCTCGGGTGGTTAGAAGCATATCGGTTAAGGACGTGATTGCAATTTTAGAAAGAGAACCTCAAATGTCGAGATCTACACTCCTCTACCGGCTTTACAACAAGGTCACTGCTGATGTTGTCGTTGAATGACTCAAACGGCTCGTTTTATCCATGACGTGTGCGGATATCTTCCAATTAATTTGTTTGAGCTTTGTATAGAGATAAGAATAGTATGAAGAGAGCAGCAACTTCTTTTGTTTGTCTCGTCTGTGCAACATGCTGTAGTTTCATGAGTAGTTAATATTGCCATAGGTTTCAATGTGCCACTCTTGCTTATTTTAGAATAATTTGAAAGTTCTCGTCAATATAAACCATTGATTTTTCTACATCAATATAAAAATACATATTTTTTAATTTTTTTGGGAGGAAACCTGCAAAAATCACCCGTTTCTCAGAATAAAAAAAAGGGATTATTTTAGAACTTAAAAAAAAAAATGAAAGGAATATTTTAAAATTATAATATAATATATATATATATATATATATATATATATTTCAATTTGTATATTAAATCTAAGAAAGTTGGGAAATTAATTATTTAGAAAATGATGTTTTTTTTAATATCGATTATTGAATATGCTTGGTAATATGAAGTTCTATATGAGAGATTAAATTGATATTAACTTAAAATATTTTATTTAGTACATGTCATTAAAATGAATAATGATACAGAAGAATGATAATAATAGATTTAAGAAAATAATAATACATGTCGATTGTCGGGAGAAAAATAAGTAAGTTATTTTGATATTATATGAATAAGACAAAATATTAGTTGACTAATAGATCTTGACTTGAAAATAAAATAATTAAGTTGAACAGTGGAAAGAAATAAAAAAATCTAACCTTTAAATGATAAAGTATATTAGGCTTAACTAGTGCATAATTCTGCGATGCACGGACAATATAATTGATAAAATTAAATAAATTGAACATTATTATACAATAAAAGAATTATCATTACATAGAGAAATTGTCAGATTATAAAATGCTCGTTATGAAAAACTACTTTACCTCTTCAAAGTCCTTGTCGAACGTAGAAATGTTACAACTTGAATCAAACCAATAACCCTATATAATAAATTGTATAAAAATAATTAATAGTTAAAAAAATGTATCCATTATTCATCAATTGTAAAAGAATTGAGTGTTATCCCACGTGGCTTGAAATATTTTCTCCAACATGTTTTTGTAGGATGTCTCCAATGTTCTTTAAGATATTCTATTTTCAACATATTTTTGTAGGATGACTCGAATGTTTTTCTTTGAAACATTCGTACAATCCATAGATTCATCATTGGTCTCTTGGACCAAGTAAGTGCTTTGTTAGACTCCATTGTTGATCCATATTGCAATACAAACTTTTGTGTTATACGACTAAAATTGTATTGTTGTTTTGACCGTGGATTATGATAGCATGCACCTAGGTATTTATAAGAGCAATGCAGTAGTTAAAATATATTTTTAATGGTTTATTCTACGAATTAAAAATATTTATTTAATTTAAATTGTATATTGAAGATGGGGAATGTATATTTTTTTTTTTAACGGATTGCGTAATTAAAACTTACATTTGTTTCATAGAATAATAGATTCAATTGTGTTAATTTTTACTTATTTTTTTAATTAAAAACAGAGGATGTTGTTGGCACAAAAAAAGTGCTACTTTGTAGGAAGTAACATTCTAAATTGAAAAATAAACATTAGGAAATGAATATTTATTTAATTAAATAACATCACATTTTATTTGATTGCACTGAAATATAAAACATTTTATTTGATTGCACCGAAGTAAAAAAAAAATATACGTTATTTTTTAATTCAACTCCATGTACATTTTTTTATTAATTAGTAAAAAAAAAAATATACGTTATTTTTTAATTCAACTCCATGTACATTTTTTTATTAATTGGTCTATTTTCTTTCGTTTCATAAATAACGAGATGGTTTTTGTTGGGATAAAAAAAAATAGTATTTTTTAAGAAGTAGGTTGATTCAATTAACTACCATATTTTACTATTATAAAATAAAATTAAGAAAAAATTAATTATATAATTTAAATTCTTTTGAATAACATATTTTATGCTCTTCAAAATTCTTTTAAAAAATTAGAGTTTTTTTCTTAAGATAAATAAACTGCTATTTTTTATGCTCGAATAACATCATGGCTCACAAATCAATATTTGATTTATAATTTGACGAAATTGTATTAGAAATTAGGGTAATATATGATGTTATTTTGTATAACAAAATATTTTATATTAATTCATTCATTAACAACTACTTTATCTAACTACTTATTTCAAAATTTAGCTTTTTTTTTGAAAAAGTTGCTACATCCCAAACAAGTTGGGGTAGACTAGAGATGAAACCCAATAGAAACAGTAAAAAAAAGATTGGAGCAAAAAAAAAAAAAGTTGCTACACAATTATTAAAAATGCTTATTGGTCCACAATTATTAAAAAGTTGTTACATAATTATTAAAACTGCTTAAGTGTTTACACAATTAATAGAAGTTTATTTTAAAAATTCAAAATTAATTTTAACTTAATTTTAATCAAAATATGTGATAATATTAAAATATAAATCATATAGAAAAATAGTTTTAGTTCTTTAAATGAACTTATAGAAAAAACTATTTGTGGATAAAACTAACTACAATAGAATTTTCTGAATATTAATTTTATATATTCTTAAATTTTTAAAAAATATAAATTTTATTCACAAATAATGTTTTCTATAAGTTTATTTAAAAAAAAAAATTATTTTTCTAAATAGTTTACATTTTAATGTTGTCACATATTTATATTAAAATTAAGTTAAAATTTATTTTTTAACTTTTAAAATATTTTTTATTAAATTATGAAATAATTATCTTATCAGATAAATTTAGTAAAAAAAATTTAATATTTTTTATTATAAGTACTTAGAAAAATAAATTTTAAAAAAATATTATTCACTTAATTATATTAAAATACAAAGTGATTTAGAATTTTAAATTAAAAAGTAAAATATAAAATTAAGTATTATACTGAGAATAATTTAAAATTGAATCTTTCAAATAAAAAAATAAAAAATTCAAACTCTATCGTGGCACGATAACAAAAGTCTAGACTTAGCATGGAATTTCCTTTGTTTTGTTAATCCCATTTGCAGAAAGTGCACTAATCATTCATTGGCATTTGGCCGACCATTTTAGCATTCAGATCTTTGTACACTCGGAGAGGTCTATTTCTGCGATGGCGGCTGGACCGACCCGGAAGATATCTGCCGCCTCCGCCCGGGCCCACACCCGCCGTCCCAAGGCAAAAGCTGCTTCGAAATTCTCAGGTGGGCTGGCCGGCTGGCCTCCATATATTCCCCTCCTTCCCCCCCTTTTTTTTGTTCTTGTCAATTTTTGTACACTCGCTGATTTTGTCGTTCGTACGAAGCGTTTAATTTTTTTCATCGGAACGAGGTTTAATGATTTGATGTTGCCCATAACTGAATTTGGTCATTTAAGGTATAGAGTTGCGGTCTTGATTTGGTTTGTGTGTAAGAGTGGGTTGGTGAATTTAATGACGAAATTTTACATGAGTTGGTTTGTGTTAGCGTTGAGTGTTGGATTCTGAGGTTTTGATGTTGATGATTTGATGTACTTGCAGCTTGCAATCTTTTGTTCTGCTTAAAAAAATAGTGATTTCTTGTTCTTTTCTTGAAAAAAGGGACTTGATAAGTTCTCAAGAATGTTGGTGGATTTGACTTTCGAAGGATGATATTATTCATGTTGGGTGATTCTCATATCATTTTTGACAAATTGACGAAAAACGGTTTTGACTTTTTTCGTCGAGGTAAAAAGGCGAGATTTTGTGATCTGGAGTGCTGGTGCAATAAGGTGAAAGTGGCACTTGCATCACTTTGAATGGACTCAGATTACTGGTTTTACACAGCCTTGATATTAGGAAGTCGCACTTATATAAACAAGCTTTTGCTTCGAAAGTTTCAGCATATTCAATCGAAAACTTCTCTGTGTTGTTGTTGTCCAACTCTTTGAAAATGAAATGTTTCAGGGATATTGAAGAAAATATTGTTCGTTGGGTTCGTGGGGTTTTTCGCTTGGGCTTATCAGGCTACAAAACCTCCACCTCCAAAGACTTGTGGCTCAGCAGACGGGCCCAAGGTTACAGCATCAAGAGTACAGCTTAAGGATGGTAGATACTTGGCCTATCAAGAATTTGGTGTACCTAAGGAAATGGCAAAGCATAAGATAGTGTTTATCCATGCTTTTGATTCTTGCAGGCACGGTGTTTCTGCATTAACTGCCAACCTCTCCCCGGTAATGGTGTTTCCTTTGTTACATATCTTTTTTT